ACAGCTGGGTTATCCGATCCTGAAATTTTACACCGCGACTCGGCCTTTATCTCTTTCAAAAATCAGAAGTCGAGACGACAGGTGACAGCGGCTAGACGCACCGTCGGATATATCGCCTGCGCTACCTCGGGCATCCATTTCGATTATTTGTCCGGTATACCTTTTTTGTTCGAAACAGAGAGAGAGAGAGAAAGACAGAAGGGAGAGAGTATCTGGCAGATTTCAAGCGATCCTTTTACCGCTCCTGACAGCGATAGTCGCGAACCACGACGTGTTCGTCTTGATCTTCCCCCGATATGGCGCGATATTCCACTGCAGCTCCTACTTGTAGCTCCTCCGCAGGCGGAATTAAAACGTGATATCGCGCACCGTCGTCATCGGTAATTTCATTTGCCGGATCGAGGTGTAAGGAGGACCGTGGCCATAAAGTTCAACAAATTCGCGTGTGAATTAACAACGACGTGCGCCCCAGCCGAACGTAAAGTTTGAGTGCGCAATGAAAGTCTCAGGTCTCTCGGAGGCGCGACAACGGTAACATTGGGATATATACGTGACGACGACTTTGATATTTCTAATTAGATCCTGCGAAGGGTTACATCCGAGGCGAGGAATAGTCTCCTCGAAGTGCGCGGGCCCTCTCTCTCTCTCTCTTTCCTTCTCGTTTAATCAAGTTCCATTTTGATGGAGAACCCGACACTCGAGCGTCCGTAACGACGATTCTTACCGCTCGGTGTGTTACTTACACCTTGTTTAATCAGACGCTGATGAATCCGGCTACCCTGACCTTATAAATCGCCGTCGCTCGTTAACCTCATTAGATACTTTTTCATTCGATACTCCGCGGTGTTCGTCGCCTTTACCTGCTTTACATGTCCGTTTCACCGCGCGCGGATCGAAACGGAAATTGCATTATCTGACCGTGATATCTCTCGTAAGTCGCAGACAGCGCGGCCAAATGCAAGGTCTCAGCACCATGCGCGCTGCAATTTGTCTCGTGTGACGCTCCGCAGCTGCATCGGAGCTCTATTTTGCGCCGCGCAAGGCAATACACAATGAAGCTGCAAGGACAGCGGAAAACGAAGCGAGCATGTAAACGCGCCCCGTGCGCTGCGGGCTTTAACCCTTATCCTCCACGCCACCAGTGCGTTCCGCTGCTTTTATTTTATAAATAGAGCAAAAATAATCGTTGGATTTCTATATCCGGTTCGTGCACTTTGCGCATGTGCATTTTCCAGTTTTCCACTCGTCGCGTCGCATTTGCTTTCGCGATGGTCGTTTATTTTACTGTTCATCCGTATGATTTTTTAATAATTATCCCAGTGGGAATTTTAATTTTTTTTTTTTTTTCAATATCAGACACGCAAGAAAAAAGCTGCTGGAATAGAAATATAGAATAACATCGAAGTGCATTATAACGGAGTTACTTGTAAAGTGTACTCGGCTAAAATAATTTCAATACGTTAATAGATACGTTAGATGTGAATTAATGGAATTGTCAAGGATAATATAAAGTAAGGGCGCGTAATTGAACGTTAAAACGGCGAGACGCGTTATCTTGTGATTTTACGATAATTGATATTGGCATTGAGTTACAGTGACTGACACTGACATTTAGCCGCTGTAACTGACATTGACATTGTCGCGTACGATTTGCGATTAAATCAGAAAATTCGCTCTCTCTCTCTCTCTCTCTCTCTCTCTACCTCGCTTTGTCGTATAAATTAAAAATATATCCGATAATTTTACCCGCGCAGCACACATTCGCCATACTTAAGCAGTTCCCGCCATACAGCCAGTCGTTCCGTGAAATTTATGCGTATTCGTTCAGGGTCACTTTCCCGAAAGATTTCAATTAACGTGAAATACTCTTCTTGATTATACCTTTCCCAACCACTACGTAACTTTCTTATCACAGCCATTTTTAGTAACCATCTCTTCACCTTTATCATCCACTTATACTTCACCGTTCTTTATAACCCCTGCGCAGTAAAAAACATTTTGTACTTGTGTTAAAACCGGCCGTTGTTAAAATTTTTATGTGAAATTTTTAATATACCCGTATGTTAATTTAACATATTATATTTACGTTATCTCAACATTTTGTTGTGTCGATATTCAACATGTGTGAATGTTAACACATTTTATGCTTCAGTATTGATTAATATATCATAGATATTTAATGTTGTATTAATTTCTTACGTAATATTTGTGTTATTTTTCAATATATTCACTTTGTGTTAAATTAACACAAAAATTGGTGTGGACCGCTTAGGACATGTGAAATGTGTTAAATTTAACACAGAATTTTTTATTGTGTATTAACCATTTTTCACACACACACATATATACACGCACTTGCCCATACGATCCCTCCGACTTTCCGATCGAAACTTTTTCTCCGCGAAAATACCTCCAGGAAGACCGAAAAATACATATTCTCGCGTCTGCCGCCGTACGGCACCTATGGGGAGCCCTTTGAAAAAGGAGGAACACGGAAGCGCGCTACGGCGCCGCGATATTTTCCCGGATGGCTGCGCATGTGTCAGCCTGTACAACGTTTTCGGACACTTTTACGCGATGTCGGAGTCGCGGACCTGTAAAATCGGACTCGCCGCGCGCCCGTTCACACGTGAAAGCACCGGCGATAATGCGCTTTAATTTTGGAAAATCTAGCGGTCCCACTTTGTGAAGCTAATGATGTGTGTGTGCGGTAAGCGTAAACCTCGTGAACTGTTTCACGCGTTATCTCTCTCTCTCTCTCTCTCTGTTTCTATCTCGCTAGGTCGGAGCTTGCTTTGTTTGCGATCTAATGTATCGAACGCGCTCTTTCTCGCGGCGGCGATTGTTACCAAGCCCATCGACCGCGGCTTTCAACGAGCCACCCACTTGGACGGTCGTTTATCGTCGCCACTCTTTCAACTCGAAATTCAATCGAATCGGCCTGTTTACGAGAAGTCGGACAAGTAAGAGGATGACATGACAAAGCGGCATGTTCATTCGGTCGGAAAGTACCGTGATTTGTCGAGGAGCGACGCATGGAGCTTTCTTTCTTGTTTTTGTAGAAGTAGAAAGCCGATGCTTTCGTAGCGCTCAGGTGGCGAGGAGTCGCGCTTATCTACGTTGTACGGTAAGAGGCTTAAATCAACTGTTTCCAAAGTTGTTCTCATCGAGTTATAGTGGTGTTAAATTTTTTAACATTTGCGGGGCTTCGTGTGCAGTCAGTCGATAGCGACCACAGCAAGATTCTATCCGTTGCGCAACTTCCCATCGTTGAACGGTTAGAGTATATTTGTCTTTTCGTCCCGACTTTTTCATTGTTCCCGCAAACAATAATCACCGTTGCTTCATATTCAAATACGCGCGGCCATCGATCGCCGAAAATTGCGAATCGCGAACGAGGAGATATAGAAAGAGAAAGAGAGAGAGAGAGAGAGAGAGAGAGAGAGGGAGAGAAGGAGAAAAAGCGAGATAGAGATTACATGCCTAACGGAAAAAAAAAGATTTTTTTTTTCACTTTCATGCAAATCCGTGCCCTGTAATTGCCGGCGGGTGAACGGAATCTGTCCTCGTCCTCTCTTTCGTTCGAAACAGGGGGTGGCTGCGACAGCGAATCTGCCAGCCGTGTTTGCCTCGTTTGTCTTCCGATTTGGCTGGCTGTGATCAATGACGAAGGAAAATCTGTCGTTTTCACATAGCGGCGAGATCTGCCGAGGTGTGAAAATTCTCGTATGGTGACGCGTTCGCAGTTATTACCAACGTGCACCACTAATGACAACAGCAACGCAATATACCGTTGCTTTGGAGGTCGTCGATAAAAATGCGATTTGTGGCATATAGAATTTCCGATTCAAAGGGGCTTGATCGCGTCCGAGAAGTTCCATTCGATTGTCATCCGGACAATAACTCTCAATTTGTTTATTAAGTGAATGTCGCAATTAGTGACAAAGTAACTTCGTCGTGAAAATAAATAAATAAATAATTAAAATAATACACGTATTAAATATATAACATTTAGTTTGTTCAAAAGTTTAAACATTTCGGATTCTAATTGTATTAAATTTCATTATTCATATTTATTTAGGCAATCAGTTTCATAGAAACAAATAAATATTCCACTATTGATTGAGTTGACATACATATATTAACTGCAAAAAATACGTACCTTGTTATTTTTTTCGCTTGCAAAATTTCTTTAATCTCGACAATATATACGATTTCAATCGGTTGAGATTAAAATATAGTTATAAAGGAATTTAAAAGTACGCCTTGTATTAATGGCCGACTTCTAAGATGTCAGCGAACCAACTGTTCGAACGTTTTTTTTTTTTTTTTTTTTTTGTAACACGCTTATAATTATAATATTTCAGCATTCGCTATGACTTATAATTTTATTCGAAACTTGTTACAACAGATAATATATAAAATTTAGAGTGTAAAGGCACATTTTTGAAGGATAAATATAGTTGAGATAAATATTATTTGACTTATTAAGAAGAATATATGCAATTGTCACAAATTAGGACATTATCACTAATTGGAATACTCACCTTAACATAACGTTACTAGACGCTACGCGGACGGCAAACTTTTTGCGTTATTTCGACCAAAGGTATCTCGATGTTTTCTCCTTTTTAACGCAAGCGCAAGCGTATCCATATATTTCCAAATAAGCGCGGGCCGGTGGTTCTCCTCCAAAACTCGCTCCCCTTGAATCTTTCAACACACATATCCACGATGTCGAGAATACAGCTTCGACAGAGAATCCCTCGACCGAGGCCGCATTCGTCTTCCTCAAACGATAAATGCTAGGTATACCGGAGGCGGAGACCCTCAGTGCTTTGTACGTGTACCGGGGTTGAAGTGGTTTCAAGTTTCGAACACTCGTGAGTCGGGACGAATGTTTCCCTCATGGAAGATTAACGATTTGGTGCGGGGGAGGGTCTCCGTCCTCTTTTCTTGCGGCGTCTCTGAAAGTTCTCTCCTTTTGTGTTTCAGAATTTACGCCCAATCCTTCCGGCACTCGGCACATCGGTAAGTCGTGCAATTTTAACAAAGCCTTCTTCCCTCGTTCTACTCCGTCAACGGTGTAACGCCAGTGGCATTACAGAATTGAATAATCCATTCGCGATGCGAACGTAGGGCATCGCGAAAGAATCTGAAAAATTGACGATCCATCGTTCGAAAGACTCTCTCCTCCCCTTCGCCCGCTCGTTCCTTAATGGACTTGATCAGAGCTATGCAAGCGCGAGTAACGTTTCCACTCTCCTCTGACATACATGATTGAATAATGCTCGTATACAATTGCAGAAAACATCGCGATTCCCTCGCGGCTCAATCGTTCGCCGAATCGCGAGCTGTTCTGACAATTTTACATCGGGACGAATCGAAATTGCGATACGAGGGAGAATATTTGCGTTTCATTTGACAACCATCTTTCGCCATTTATGAATAATCGCACGTAAATTACGTCGCGCAAAAAACCGCATCGTCTCGCAGAAAAATAGCAATTTCGCGCCGTAAAGTACAGACGGCGCGTCGTCCTCGGTATTTACAGGAGAAAAGGCTCCTCCGGGTTTGATGACTGATCGAGACGTATCGATTACCGTCACCGGTCGCGCGGATCGCTTTTTAGCGTCAATTTGAAATTTAAATGGGCCGAAGGCAACATATGACGCACGGTGACACGCGCCACACATACACAGACACACACATATTTAAGCACTCGCGTCTGCTGACGCGCGTGCGTCGCGCCGCGTCGTCCCGCACTCCGGCTGGATCGATCGACAGTGCATATATCGATGTAGATATTATCACGGTCAGCACATCGACTCCCTATATATTTGAACGCGGCGGTAAATTTCAATTTACCGCGAACTGAGGCAGCGAGCGCTCCGACATTCGTCGCGATTTCTCTCGATTACGAACGAACGGCTATCCGCACCGACATCTGCCTTATCACTGTAGAATATCCGTGTGGGACGATGACGGCAATTTTGGTTCATATATGCCTGACAATCCGGCTCGGTGATATTAATTCCGTTTGATTATATCGGCAGTAGTCAAAGGCGAAAATGACTTCGCCTGTGCGACAGCCGCGACATTGTTAATACATTATATCACCGGAAATATTCGAAGCGATTCTGACATTTTCCCGTCTCCAACACGAGTTTCGAGGTAGTGAATTTGGGTACGTTGGACCAACCGACGGCGAGATATTAATTGCTACGGGAAAATGTGATCGATGCCAGGCTCTTTTTTCAAACTTAACCGCAAAACGCAATGTTGAGAAACGATGTTTTATCACGTGTTACCAGACTCGCGATGTCGTTATAAATCGGCTGTATTCTTAACCCGCGGTTTAAAACTCACCGCTGACTTTCGTCATTTTTCTTGAGAAAGGATCGATCACGCGAGTGAAGAATTTTGTATGTGAAAACAGCTCACTGAAATTTCGTTACTTTAACATGAGGAGTGTATTGAAAAGTGCTCAAGTATAATGTTAAATCGACACGTTCACCTCGTCAACATGTGTCAACATACACACACATACATTCCCCTTGTTAAAGTGATACAAACTTTCGGGTGGACTTTTCTTAACATAAAATATTTTTACCGTGCGCACGTTGATCTGGTGGAATCTTATCGTACGGGCGATAAACGCGAGATTTTTCGGAGTCGTTCTACATATTTAACACGCATCTTCATCCGTGAAGAATGCGTATGCGAGCAGCGTATCTCCGCCGACGCGTAGTTCAACAGCAGATTTTATCTTTAATCACGTACGCGCGAGAGAAAATCAACTTGCGCTGCGCGACTGACACGTCTCCCCTCCTTCCTTCTGTCTTTCGCCGAGTCTCTCCCCCCCCCCCCCCCCCCCCNATTTGTGAACGTGCATTCACACGTGCATCAACGACGGCGTATGTGCAAGCTAGGACTTCCGACGCGCTTTTCCGACTACGTGACGTCCGGACGTCCGACATCTGCGACGTACTGCCAACATGCCGCTGCCAGTAACTGCGAATGCGACAGCTAAACCGCGGAATTATTATTGCGTGCGAGCGAGCTCGACGCCTGCAAGCTCCGAAACCCGGCTAAGCGGTTGGCTAAGCATTATTAACCGATCTCGCCGTAGTCATGGCAGCTTCGACGTGGTTCGATACCGGGCAAGATTATCCCCTCACGCTGGGAAAACATACTTCGCTGAAGATGAACAGTTCACCATATATCGCGAGTATACCGCTGTGCAACAGCGCGTATGTAACTTACAACTATCATCGGACGAGAATATACCGGTATATGCAATAGATGAGAATGAATGTCTAATCATACCTACAAGAAGAAGAATAATTTTGCTATTGTAGTAAAATCATCGTTGCTGCTGCATATTCGTTATGACAAGGGCAAAATTTAGTTGGCGTGAATAATTAAATGAGTTATACGTAATTACAGCAGAAACAGTTTCGTTGGCCAAGATAAGAAGAATTCTGCTGAGTGAATTTGTCTTTAAACAACGTTAATTTGTTGTTAACCCAAAATTATGTTTTTCTACATTTATTAATTTGTTCTTATAGCAAAATAATCCGGCGAATAGCAATTGCTATTCTTAACAAATCGTTTTGCTGTCCACCGTAGTAACTGACAGATTTTGCGGCGACAGTATAAAATTTGCTGCAAATTATTTTTCTCTGTGTGACAAATTAGATATACGGATGTTCAAAAGCTCACAAAATCAGATGAAATATATACGCGTCAGGAAAATTGTATTTACTTATTTAATATTTAATATTTAGTTAAGCTTTCGAACGATCAATGAAAATCGGTACAGTCAATGTTTCGGCAAAAGTTATTTAATTCGCGGCTGCAAGAGGATCAAACGTTACCGGCGGGATGCTCGCTTTATTCAGAGATGCCAATTTCAGATTATCTCGTCGATAAAAGTGTTGATCTTTTTTAGCTTTTCAGTTGTACGCGATGAGAAGCGGAGGGAGTTATTTGCAAATTGGACTTTAGGAAACGGGGAAATGCATCGGTTAATAAAGCAATATCCTGATTCCATTTGAGTCGATTTAATTGGAAATAATCGCGCGCTGTATCGCGACGCATAAAGTAATATAATATTTCGTAATATCGCAATAAAAATATTTCGTACGCGAAGGATTAATCGCTATGCGCGGCAGTCGATTTGATTTCCAGCCAGGTAGCCCCGTGCGGTATAATTCCGCGGCTTGCATCGAGCCAGATGAAGGAAGTTATCGGTATATAGGACGTGGGGTTGAGGTGGGAATGTCCCGATATTTGTGGAAAGCTGGCAAAGTTTCCCTCGCAGTAGTAATATAGCGTCTGTGAAAATCGATATTCGATAATCACGAAATTCCGGGGAGGCCTGCAGCCGCCGCCGTCTTTCCTTGTGTGGGTCCTGCCGCAAGATTAAAATGCCCGAAAAAGAATATAGACTCGTCGATGAATTCAAGAATCCGAAGATTTAAGACAAGAAGATTTAAAAGTAAAAAGTGCGCAATTTAATTTGTATACAAGAGTTGGCGATCGTACAGAGACGGACGCGACGACTTTTATCGTATCTCCTTCTAACGACCTGATTTGTTACCTGACTTCGAGACTATAATTCCGTTTACTTCATGCTGAAAGTTGCAGATCGAATTTTCTTGCTGCTCTTTATCCTCTGCTCTGCCAGCAATCCGGTGTTAACAAAAAGGGGGAAAGTCGCACCGTTTACAAAGTTCGATCCCGCGATCTCATCTCTCGCAATCTCCACCGTGAAGTTCGCTATCATCGTTCTGTTAGAAACGTTTCTCCCGACGGCAAATATTAAAACGTGAAGCGTACTCTCGCAATTTTGTTTTATAGCCGAGAATTACGAAAATAAATACTCTCACAGTTCTAACCAATTTTCACAGCCGTGGGATGAATTTAACAGAAACTCTAATGCAACAAAACCGATGAGTATTTTCATAGTATTTTTTTCCTACATTTTTCCGACGGCACGGAATTTATCGAATATTCCATTAATTTAACAGAGGACGATATGATATACACGTTGTGTAACTCGAACGTAACATGTTGACGTTAATTGTGACGAACGAGAACGCCACGAGAGAGATCTCTTTAACGATTATGTATTTTAACTTAATTATTGCTACCGCCGCGCGATGTTTACGTCGCACGCGTTCGCTTTTCCGAATCTCGTCGGATAATTGAAAGGGACGCGTTATTTTCCATTAACTAACGTCAAGTAAGTTTCACACGCTCCGAGATTTCGATTTCGCTTTTAACACCCGTCCCGGACGTAAAGTTTCATTATCGCCGCTGCGTGGTTAACGATACGCGCGTGTTCTCTCTGCAGCAGACTTGCGAGGTATCGATGGACGAGCCACTATATTTGCCTACCCTGGGCTTATTTGCACTAGAAATTTGTGCACGAAAATGTTTCTGCGCGGATTGCGGTTTCCACGTCCGCGCGAACGCAAACATAAACCCAGGCCCGTGTTAGTATACACATCGGTGTAATAAGGTCGTTGCTACGAGCGCTTTATCGTTCCTGCTCGAGCAACGTTATTTCTGTTTCGTCGCAAACGGAAGCGCGCTCGCTCGGCTGCGGCGTGTCTCGCTTTGTTTTTCCATACCCGAACGGAGCGCAAGAAGCCACGCGTATGCGTTACATATCGATTATTGCAGAAAAGAGGAAGAAATTTACACGGAATATTCGATTAATTAAAATTCACAGGATAACAAGAAACGTTCTCGATATCAGAGATACACGTGTAATTCGCTTTTTACGTAGACTAAGTAAAAACGCGAAGCTACGGTTTTCGATGGATTAACGTTTGGATTGAATAGAATGGTTTTTAGTAGACGTAATAATTTACCGTCCCCCGACAATGTGTGCGGGACAATGTACGTCCGTTAAAAAAGGACAAGACGTACTTTGTAGCCGACATAACTCAATAGCGCAATCAGGCGCAGGTGACGTAACGGACATTCTCCCCCTTTTTTTTCCCCACTCTTCTCTTCTC